GACGGGGATTCGAACCCGCGACCCTCAGATTGCGAGTCGAGCGCCTTATCCATCTGGCCATGACCTAAACAGATGTCCAGTAATCATTCCTTTCTGTACTGAGGGAGGGTCTGAGACAACAAAATATCAGCTCCATTTTAGTTTCCTGTGGAAAGATGTAATCATTTTACCATCTTAAAATGCTAGCAGGATTCCCAAGGAACCAAATTTGAGTGTGATGTGTAAGGTTTCGAGAGGAATCTCTAATTTTGGCCTGTAGCTTGTTGATACAACCGTTTAATTCGATTAAGTGTTAATCCCATGGTTACAACTACCAATATGTCCTCTATGTAGCGATTCCACATTTCAGTCTCTAATCAGTTGTTGCTGTTAACATTGTTTTTTTTAGCTTAAAGCTGCAAAGTGGGTTATCTGTGCTCTGTCTACCACGCAATAGCGTGCAGAGGGGGGGGGGCGAAAGGTGCCGGGGCCCCGGGCATCCATATCAGGAGGGCATCCAAAGCAAAGAGTCGAATCGAATAGTAGAACCCTTTCCGCCCTTCCCCAAGGTCTTAGGTACAAAGCCCCGGGCATTATAGAACCTCTGCACGCCACTGCTACCACGGGACATCGAATCCTGGATTTTAGCATTGTAAGTCCGGAAACTTAATTAACGGAGGACATTTCTAGTCAGATAGGGCTCTCTTCTTTCTTTTTCTTTAAGAAAGTGCAATGAAACAACAGAAACAACTACAGCAACCTCATTACCCACGGCGATTCCTTGAGCTTATTTGTAAATATCAGTTCCAAATGGGAAATAACTATTAAACAGAATATGAAATTAAATTAATCAATAATTCTAGAAGGTCAATAGTATATGGCTTTTCTGTTACGAGTTCAATAATAGCTGTCATCGTTTCTTCAATGGGTATAGGCAGATGAAATGAAATCACATCATAACTAAACAGAATACTCTTCAGCTGTTTAGGTTTAGTTGTTCATTTTTAGCCTTTTGTGACAAGTCGTAGATACTATGTGGGTAACTAGATACCGGAGTGAAACATCAGGATAAAACCTCTGTCGGTGATACGTTTACTGAAACAATATGGGCCTTACAGGAAAATTCGATTTAAGCGTCTGTGATTTGCCTTCCCACCATCATGTGGTATTGCTGCTGAAAATAATGTGATGTGCGAGTGCAATGTGAGTTTCAAATGCATAGGGAACGTATTCGTACTGATTCAAAATGCCCTAGATGAGGTATTAAATGGCATTTGCTATGATTTGTATGTTTTCTCCATTTTTAGTGTCCAGGGTAAATTGGACTACTGTAGGCTTTAGATAGAGGGAGCGAAAGGAACAGATGTTGGGATTAGAAAGACAGTAATTGTGATTGATTTTGTGCTTGAACCAATGCAAACTCCTCGGATTCAGCGTCGAGGTTTACCTCTTTTTGTGGCCCGTGCAAGGTCTTGTTTAGGACCCCATACACTTTACTATACAATCATACTAAATACTACTTATTAATCTGGCGACAAGTCCACGTAAAAGTTAAGTAAGGCACGTTCGCATATTTATTATTTAAAATAGCTGATAAAATGACAAGCTATGTATAACACAACAATAAATGGCACCAAACAATTATAATGGTTTTAAAACAGCATTGTTATTGTAATGTAACAACTCAGAAAACAGCTTTTCATGCTCTAGTTGCAGCAAAGTATTGTATAACATCTGAATTGATTAGCTTCAGACAAGTCTCAAGTTCAATCGAGATCTCTGCCAGGCAATTTAGACTCTCTTGCAACTCAGATAATTCTTCTCAACTTTAGACGATTGTCACAGGCACCGTCAACAACATATAATCTACATTTGGTGAATAGTTATATAATTTATTTTTTATATTGACTTAACACTGTTGTTAACGTTTCTTAAACTCTTATAATGACATTTAAGGGCCTTGTTTTAAGTTTCTAGATATAATATCACCATACAATTGATCGATAAAGCCGAGACCTTCAAGTTACTATTGAACCCGCACCGAGCAAATACACTGTTTTGTAATAGCCTAACGATGCTCCTACTCAGATTTGACATATTAGTAAACAATGTAAATGAAGTTGCAAAAAAATATTAAATATCTTAACTTAGAGATTTTTCCATGAGCTTGCTATTTTTTTAATTTACAAATGTACATATTTATAAGGAACGCAACGTAGAAGGTAGCTAGATTTTTTTATATGATAAAAATATTTTATCTTTCTCTTATCTATTGTAATAATACTCAGTTTTTGTCTGTCCTAAAAATGCGCGCACACTTTAATACGGATATAAACAAAAGACAGATGTAAATATACTTTAGAATATATATTTCACACAACAACAATTATTTATTGCAGTTTTTAAAAAGGGCTAACCTTAGGTCGTAGAATAATATTATAAGTTTATTTATTGATAGTATTGAGTACGATAAAGCTTAGCCTTAACTAAACCAAAGTAAAAAACGTACAAAAGATACAGTGTTAATTTATTTCTTTTTATCGAATATAGGCCATACTTAATAAAGGCTTAACTAATGTGAGGCCTAAGGTAAGTAGACTTATAAACATTAACATTGCTAATAGCTTACGAATACTGTACTCTGTTAGACCATGTAGTTATGCTATATGTTTTACACTCTACATTGCAAACTAATCCTCGAACGAAGACGTCGAAGAAGTTTCATGGCGTCACGTGACTCATCACTTTAACCGCAAATTAATAGAAAACATGTCTTAATAAAGAGAAACATAAAAATTCTAAAAAACGACAATTGGTTACAATTCTGCAACACATCAGATAACAGTAAAAAACAACCAAAATAATTTTGGAAAAAATTAAATCTTTAGCGTCTGAGAAAAACAACAATAAGCTATTTCACTACATTAAATATAACAATATAACAGCAAAAACGGACAGTCAAAAAGGAAATCTTCTAGCTGACTACTACACACATTTTTTCTCTGATACAGATTCTCAATCAACCCCATAAACAAACAGTGGACTCCCATATGGCGACCAAACCAGAATTATTCACTCCGAAATTTCCTATACTCCAGACTTATTCAACAGAAAGCAAGCAACGTACTCCTTCACTTACTCAATATTATGAATCTATAGTTTTTATCAGGCTGCTACCCGGATACGTGAAAAAAAAAAGCCACCATCACAGTTATTCCTAAACCAACATCAAATAACTCAAACCCCGATAATTTCAGACCTATTAGCCTCCTAAGTTGCTTAGGCAAATTACTCGAACGCATCATATCCCACAGATTACTTCTTTACTGCGAAAATAACAAATATTCAAAACTCTTCCCGCAAAGGTAGACAGATAGTAGATCACTTAACCAGATTAAATGAATCGATTTACAAGTGATTTAACAACAATCAGCCAACCTTAGCCATTTTTTTAGACGTAAGTAAATCTTTTGACTCTGTGTGGCATAACGCCATTAGATACTGCCTTCCAAACATTAAAGTGAACAAAACAATAATTAGATGGTTATCCAACTTCCTGAGTAACCGTACAGCAACAGTCAAAGGTAATAAAACCATATCAAAATCAAACATTACTGCCGGAATCCCTCAACGCTCTGTCCTCTCACCTCTTTTTTTTCATTATCTTTGTTAATAATATACCCTTCCCGGATTTAACGTACACCTATTTTTCATAAGTTTCAGACGATATTGCTGTTTGGAGCGTTTCACGAAACCTTCTAATAGCAGCAGATACGGTACAAAAATACCTTGACACTATAGTAAAATGGTGCAATGACAGGAGAATGGAAGTTAATCCAATTAAAACGACTAGCATTATGTTTCGACGAAGTCTTAATAAACATTTCAAAAAAAAAAAAGTTAAACTAAGACTAAATAATACTGATATAAGATTATGCCCCTCGGCCAATTTTCTAGGTGTCACCTTCGATTACCGCCTTACATAGGCTGAACATTTCACAAACATAAACTAATCCATCAGCAAATGAATCGCACACTTAAGACTAATTGCAGTAAAAAAACAAAGGTTGCAACTCATTCACCATCATCAAGATATACTCAGTCTATATTCGCTCATTGATAGAGTACGGGTGCCAAGTCACTTTTAATATGTCCAGTAGAATAAGTAATAAGTTATAACTTCTACAAAATTATCCCTAAATTTACACCTACTAGTTATTTACACAAAACATGAAACATACATTCAATTAACGAAAGATTAACAACTATTGCTTTTAACTACTATAGAAAAGCAGAAACAAGAAACTCTAACGACAGCCCTTCATTCTATTACAAGCGCCTCACTGAAAACAGTTTCCCAAACAACAAGTACTTAGCCTCCAAATTAACATAAATACATTCAAACAGTACACATAGAGATCAGTTGTTTTTAACCCATTCGTGTTGTTTTATCATTTCAGCTTGGACACAGGACACGTAGGATAATTCGGCGCCTGTCATGTTATAGTGGGTTTTCTCGGGGTACTTCCGCCCCCCCCCAATCAAATTCTACGACACTTGGGTTTACAGATCCCAACCACCCGGTAACCCTGATTACGGGAAGTTTGTTATCACGTGCTTTGTCGAAAGTTTGTCGCCTTGCTTCTTCTCTTCACCGACGTCATCGGCCTTGACCTTTGCTCTGCCTCCAGACATTTCTTCAATCTCAAGACTTCAAATCCACCATAAAGCAATAGCTGATCAGTCTCTCTAACTACATTTATTCAATTCACAAATTTAACAAATAATTTATTGCGAGCGGGGCGAAGGGGGATACTAATATCCCTGAACACACTAGTTTGGAAAATTTCTTTCCTTTAAAACTAAATCCCTGTCACGGACTTTTCGTGTGTTTGTTTTTTCTTTTTCTCATTAGACTGCAAGAGCTAACGTATGTCTTAAGTGTCCATTCTAAAGATTTACCTTAACCTAATATTCATGTTAGTTGTGGTTTTCAAGTTGAATACATCAGTTATTCTTACCTATCACAATCACATGACCGAACACAGTGTTGCTACCTATGCTGGTACAGTTCCATCTGTGGCCCTGAAACTGACGCTGGCATTCATTAATGCCTTTTCTAATACCGTTTCCAATAGTAATCAGTAGGTCTGGATCTTGAAAACAGATTCGTCGCTGACCACGTGTTAGTCCAGGGATTTTGTCACATAGCAGTCTAGCACTGAAAGCTACAACGGAAGGAATAGTCCTGTAAAAAACAAAATATGCTGCTTGAATCACGTATTATGTGTAGGTGTTTTTGACAAACGAAAATAGAGTTCACAAAAAGACAATATTTAAAGACTGCAACAGCCTGTTGAAAATTTTGTCTCTCTTACAAGATCTTTAGTTTTTCAAAGAACTGTTAAGTGGATCTCAGAACAATAGGATGTTGAGATAAGATAATATTTTCTGTTCCTTTAGCCGTCATGAGGCCACAGATTAAATCCTCTATCATAAAATACACTCTAAAAGGTGGCGACGAACACTATTTAACAAAGAATTTTACTCACTCAGGTGCTAAGGATGAGATTCAATATTACTTTCAAATTTAATGTTCCAAAAAATTTTGCAGAAACATATATATATATATATATATATATAATAGGC